CGCGTCCCCAGCGTGTCCCTCTCCGGGCCGACCTGCTCGTGCAGCACGCTGATGCGGGACAGCCGGTTCAGCCTGAAGTCCAGCATGTCTTCATTGGGGCTGTCAGGACTGCTCCGTTCCTCGCAGTGGGCCACCTCCAAGCCTTGTGCTTTCTGCCGGCTGTAGCTCGGGTTGAAGCTCACCTCTTCGAACCACGTTCCTCGCTCGTCCTTGGGGGGCTTCCCCAGGCCTTCACCCAGCCCCTGGGCACTGTGACTGTCTGCGTCCTCCTCCTGCCGCCCGGGCTTGCTTGCCCCTGCCGCCTCCCAGCGCTTCGCCCTTCTGTCCTGCTTCTTCTCCTTCCCCTCCACCTCCTCCTGCGGTGCCGCCATTGCAGCGCCTTGGAGGCAGCCCAAGGCAGCCAAGTCCTTGGGTAGCTCCAGGCTGAGGACAGACCCAAGCGAGAGGTGGGGGCAGGTGTTACTTGGCCCGTCGGCAGGCTGCACAGTACTAGGTCCCCCGCTGTGGCGGGGGAGGCTGAGTTTGGACACCCCGGGGGCGGCCCCACACTCTGCATCAATGTCCCGCACCAGCGGGTTCTTCACGTAGAGCAGCAGCTCCTCGAGCTGGGGGCCGGGAGCCCCCGGCACCGCCTTCCTCCGTCCGCACTTCAAGGGCCACGTGTTGCTGGGGCCGTGCCTCTCCTCGGGCAGGGGCTGCAGGGAGCTGGGGCCCATGATGCCTTGCAGCGTTAGCAGCCGCGCGTGCTCAGCCTTCACCTTCTCCTTCCTCTGCAGGCTGTTGAAGATGGAGCCGGGGCTGGCCTTGGGCAGGGTGTGGGTTGCCCCAGCGCGGGGTGCCGGAGGGCGGCAGGCTGCGGCTGGCGCTTGCTTTGCTGGCTGCCGCACGGCGGAGCTCCTTGCCCTCTGTCCATAGTGCTCCTCCACGCACGCGGAGGCGCTCGCCTGCGGACACAGCGAAGGGCACGGGGGGGAGCGCCCTGCCAAGGCAGCAGCCACGCGGCATGGCACAGCCCTCACTCACCCTGTGCCAAGAGCCCTCTCCCCACAGGACAAGTAGGGGCAGTGAGGACTCGGGGGGCTAGGCAGCACCTGCTGCTCTCCAAATCCACTTGCCCTCCGCGCTGGTGCAGTTTCCGGAGCTGGGAGCTGCACAGTCTCGTCCTCAGCACCTCAGGGCTGCCTCCAACTCAGCACATGGTGGAAAGAGGCAGGAAGGGGGCACCCTACTCATGCTACAGAGCCCTTTGGGTATGTCCTGCTGCCCTGGCATGCAGCATAGAGCTCTCCTCCTCACTCTTGCCCTCTAAGGGGCTTCTTCTTGAGGTCTACAGAGATAGCAGTCACTGTGGCATGCTGGCAGGAACCTGTATGTGCCACCAGGCAGCCGTGCTGGGTAAATGCAAGGACAGAGCACGTTCCCTCCTGCCCTCTACACTCTCCTTTTCCATGAACAGCACCTCCACCGTTTCCCCCCACGGTTTAAGCCTCTATTCTGGATTCCTGTGGCTGCAAGGAAGAAAGCAAATGACTTTGCTTGGCACAGTTGGAACAGCATCTCCCTGTACACCCTAAGCTGCATGGTACCTGCCACCCTAGGCATTTCTAGTGGCTCTTTGGTCCTTTGCCCTGCCACAAGGCCCTCTGGCCTCTTTGGCATCCTCCCCACTAACCCTTCTTGGCAACCCTAGTCTCTTCCCTCTGTCATCCAGCCGGGCTATGTGCAGGGAGAGCCCAGCACTGCTGGCATTGGGAGCTCCTCACAAACAGCCCTTTGTGCAGGGTTCGGAGCAACAAGTGGATCCTATGTGGCTGCAGAGTCCCGGCAACATGCCAGGCTCCCAGTGCTGGAGTTGCAAGCCTCACACATGCACCCAGAGCAAGCTCCCCTCCCAACACACGCACACACAAATGGCCCACCCACCCTTGCCCCCTTCACTCAGCTGCACAAGGGACCACTCCTGCCTTCCCACAACTGCTGCACCTCCCACAGCCACCAAAACCACTTACCCTAAAGGCCAAAATGTGGCCAGCCCTCCTGCCTCTGGGACCTCTCTTTGCACCCCCAAGCTCCAACGCTCGGGAGCCAGAGCACCAGAGGTATTTTTCTCTATGATAAGGTAGCTCATTGCCATGTCTGCACCTGCTGGCCCTGCTGGGGAAAAGGCTGGCCCCAGCCAGCCTGCCAGGGCAGCAAGTAGCACTGTGGAGAGGGCATGGCAGGATGGATAAGCAGGTTAGTAACAGGCAGGTTCATACCATGCAGCCACTTTGCCCCACATGCAGCCTCCTTGGAACGTTACCTCTTCCAGGGACAGGTGTGATGGCTTTCTCTTTCGCTTTAAACTACCCCAAGTGTTTCCTAAAAGCCCCTGGCAACGCTTCCAAAAGGTTTTACAGCTTGAGGGTTTAGTGGTAGGGAGCTGAGCATGGGGAGAGAGAGACACAAAGAGAGGTGAGGGAAGAGCAAGAGAGTGGCCAGCTACAGGGAGGAGAGAGCAGGCAAAGAAGGTGCTACAAGCTGGTGCTTAGTCCTCAGGAATCACCCGACACCCAACAGAGCCAAAAGCCCCTCTTGGCTTTCTGATATGGCCTGGCCAGTTTGCTTGGAAATGGCTTAAGTGGATCCCACCTCTGGGAGAAATCTGGGAGCCTTAATGATCTATGCATCTGCACCCACCCAATGGGCCCACCACATGAGGAGGTCTGCAGTGGAACACAGCTCCCCATGGGCTACTCCAGAGAGCCCCAGCAGCAGCTGGGCCCGAGCTGGGCACAGGGAGTTCCTGCATATCTCTGTTAATGCCACAGCCCTTGTGCAGCTTCACATACCGTTTGTGGAGCTTCATCCTCAGGCCGTTCTCCACCCAACGCCAGCTGTGGTGTCTTCTTCTCTCCCTTCTTGCCAATGCTCAGGATCAAGTTGACTGTTCCGCCCAGGCTGCCAGTCCCTCGCGACGGCAACAACACAGTGGAGGTCTCAGAAGGATCCCAGATGAGACCCTCCTCCTCAGGGGGAGGGCTGTGGGGCACCAAGCTGCTGGGCTCTGGTCCAAAGAGGGCATCTGAGACGGGTGACACTGGCGGGGAAATGGCCGTTTTCTCCAGCACCTGTGACTGCAGCTTTAATCTTTGAGTAGATACAGATGGGGAGCAGGGTGCAAATCCTTTCAGGCCAAGGATGCTGTCTGCACATGGCTGAGCACATGGGACTTGCTGCTCCTGGGGAGAAAGACAAGAAAAGGGACATAGAGGATTGCTCCAGAGTGCCCAAGCACTTTCCAAGGCTTGTAGCCCCGCTGTCCAGGCTCCCAGAGAGACTCAGGGAGGAAAGCAGTGGCATGGAGATTGCCCAAGCTCCTCCTTGGAGGCAGGGTGCCCAGGCCTGGAAGCTCAGGTGCTTTATCTCACCAGTCTTCCCTGCCTGTCCTGTCTGAACTTGAGAGTGCTGGGGATGTCAACCCCAAGGTGTGACAAATCCCTCCCCTACTTTCATGTTACCTGTTCCATTCAGTGACTTTGCTACCCTTCAACCTTGGCCCCTTGAGGCAGGTTTTCCCACCTCTCTGATGGTCACTATGCCACCAGATACTTACCTGGCCAGTTGAAGGCACACCCGGGGGACTTTCAGGGTCCTTTCTGTCCTCCTGCTTGCTTCCAGGGTCTCGCTGGTGTTTCTGCGCTCGCCAACGTACCAGCACCCAGCCCAGCATGCTCTGCAGCTCCTCCATGCGCTCCTTTATCTGAAGGCAGGAGAGATGCCGGGCAGTCCACAAGGACACCCTGCACAGACCCTCAGCCTAGGCTTAGGGACACAGACCCTACTAGGACACTTTCTGCCAGGAACAGTTAAGGGGGAGTTTGGAACCAGAACTCAAGTCAGTTGCATCCAGTATTGTTTGAAACACTTTCCCAACGTTCTCCCAGCAGCAGAGAGACCCTGTCAATCAAGACATTCTGATGAGGGTCTCAGAGCCCTCAGCCGCTATGAGAGAAGTGCAGCTGGCTCTGACAAACTTGTTGGGGCTTTATGTCCACAGCTTTATCTAACCTCCAGGCACTAGCCCCAGCAGGTTTCAATGAGAGGCTGAGAAATGGATCCCCATCCTTGCAAGAGGCCAAGGCTCCCTGCTACTTACTGTCTCACTCAGATAGTGCTCCTCAGCCACCAGCGTCTGTCCCACTGCTGCCAGTTCCTCAAACTCCTTGAACTTGCCTTCAATCTTTCTCTCCAGTTCCTCACACTGAATATCCAAAAGGCTATTGCTGCCCGGGCTTTCCGAGAAGATCTGAGCCCGTGTGTCCTCCGTCCAGGAGCTGAGGGCATAGGAAGGTCAGGAGTAAGAATAACCCAGCTCATTCTCAATCCTACAGTATTCCAGATAAGCAATTCCCAACCAGCCTCAAGCTGAGCCCATGACTTCCAGAGGGACATGGCTCTCCACTAGCAGCAAGCACCCCTAAAACTGCACTTCAGCCATGGCAGCTGTGCAGGGTCCCAGGCTCTCCCTGCCATCCTCACTCACAGCTGAGCTGAGAACAGAGCCACGAGCGCACAAGGGGTGATGCATTAACTTTATGGACGACATGTTGCTCTACTTTTAACACAGACTTGGCTCTTACTAGTAGCGACCTCTGCCTTCCAAGCTGAGGTTGCCCGGTGCCCTTGGCAAAGAAGGCTGCTGTTTGCTGGAATCTGGTGCAAAACAAGCACCAGTAAAGGTGCTTACTGCCCATAAAGGCAGTCACCATCTCTCAGCTGTCAACGCTGATCATTGAGCTCTCCATTTTTAAAACAGGAACTGGGAGTAGGGCAGAGAAAGTGGATGTGAAGGGTAAAAGCCTAGCAAGAGGGAAATACAGGAGGAGGGGACAAGTGAATGCAAGGAAAAGAGAGCAAAGGGAAAAGGGAATGCATCTGGATGGAGACACTGCAAAGGTGTCAGGACAAGGGCTGGGAGCACAGTCCCCATGGAGACATCCCATGCAGGCTCAGGAGTACGGGGGTTGTGTGTGTGTAGGAGGGCTGTTGAAGCACTGATTTTCTTTGGCACAGCATTTGGAAATCATCAGAAAGCATATGAAAACTCTGCTACAACTATCACTTATCTTCTGTCTGCTGTCACAATCTTTAAGTCAGTGTGGTGGCCCGTGCTAGGTCTGGGCCCCGCAGCAGGCTGTTCTGTCCATGCAGTTCCAACACAGCCCTGCATTTCAGGTTACAAACAGTCCCTGTCTGGTTTCTACTCCACCATCTGCTCACGGGCTTGGGAACAGCCGGACCTCTGGGAATGCTGCGGTCTCACCAGCTCCCCCCTCAGAGTGGCATTGCAAAGGCAACCCTGACCGCTTATCACCACTTACATCATGGCTAAATAATCCTTGAAGAACTGCCGCAGCCGTGCAGCCTGTTGCACGTGGGCCTTGTTCTCCCTTAGCAGCTTCTGCAGTCCTTCCCAGGCCTGCAGGGCTCCCTGCACCTTTGGGCCAATGGTACCCATCTGAGCTGGGCAGAGCTTTTCCAAGTGGGTAGCAGCTCTCTCCAGCTCCTCCAGCTGCCCCTGCAGCGTCTCACACAGAGCAGACAAGGAGCACAAGGGAAAAAAAAAAGAAAAAAAAAAAAAAGAGAAGTTAGGACACTTAGAGCAATGTGGCAATGGACACCTGACTTTTTTCCTATCCTGCCCAAGGACACACTTTACCTGCTGATCAGGACACATCCAACCCATTCCATGTGCTTCTGCATGATAAGGTCAGAGAAAGCACCAGTCCTTCACGGGCAGGACTCCTCCGTGCCCCAGGATGCAGGGGATGAAAGGAATATGCTAGAGGGGAGCTTAAGGCTACTGTGGGGCACTGGGGGCCCAGGCTGTGGGAAGCAGGAAAAGCCAAGCTCCATGGGGATGATGGGCAACACAAAGGGCTGCAGGAGTGCAAAGGAATGCGGTTTCTCCACACCAGCCTGCTCTGCCCATGTGAGTCACCTCCCTGCCGATGGAAAGATGAGCGAGGTGTTGGCAGCCTGGCGCTGGCACACGGGAGCTGACGCAATCTCTCTCCCCTTCCTTGGCCCAGGCCAGCTGAGGGGAGCAGGGCCAGGCTCGGCTTGCCTGGAAAATTCCAGCCCAGCCCTCTGCAGCGGGCCAAAGCTTACGACACCTGGGCCCCTAGGGGCCAGCACCTCCCCAGGATAGCCTTGTCCAGCTGGGATACTTCCACACCACGTCTCATCTCCTGCCACACGCCGCTGGGCAGGGTGCCTTCCAGCTCCCGGCTCTCACCTCCATCTCCCTGCTCCTGCTCAGCAAGCCCTGCATCCCCTGGAGGTCCTTCTCACTCTTCACTACGGTGAAACTGCTCTCCGCTTGGGCAGTGTCTCGAGCCAGGGCTTCGGCTCTGCATCGGGTGGCCTCCAGGCGTGGGCACAGCTCTGCCAGCTGAACCCGTAGGAAGAGAAAGATGAGCCCCAAGGTAGGAGCCCAGGTGCCACAGCTCCCGCTCCTCAGCCTCGTGGCGCAGCATGTACCTGGCACAGCCACAAGGCACTCTGCTGCAGGGCAAGGAGCTCCTGCCACAGCAAGGAGAAGGACACCCTCCTTGCACAGCCAGGGCCCATGGCTGTCCCGGCTCACTTGTGTCCCATTGGGACAGGCCCACTTGTGCTCCCCATTCCAACTACGTGGCATGGCTGGCCCTAGACAAGCCATGCAGATCGCATCCCCGGGTCCAGCCCCTACCAGGCGCTCCAGGCTCTCCCTCGCCGCCGCTGCCTCAATGACACGCTCTCGCTCCTTCACCGCATCGTTCAGCATCTCCACAGCCTCCTGCAGCTGTCCCAAGGGGCTGCTCATGTCCTCGCTGCTTGGCGGCTGCCTCGCTGGGGCTGAGAGCAGAGGCAAAGACCTCTGCGAGCCACGCTGCCCACTCCCTGGCTGAAGCCAACAGAGATACCAGGCATGAGAGAGATGGGAAGCAATCTTCTTAAATGTGTGGCCTGCAGAGGGGACCCATGGGGCCACAGATTGACCCCTGGGTTGGTCCTGGCTGCTTTGAGCTGACGCAGCAGCACCAGCCCCAAATGCCAGCTGCAGTAACGTGAGGGGAACCCCAAGGGGCAAACAGGCAGTGCCAGGCAGTGGCAAGGGGTGCGGGGCCCAGCCCCACAGCTCACCGGAGGGGATTGGTGCCGGCTCCGCGCCTCCTCCTCCTCTTGCACATTCTGCAGGAACTCGGAGAGCACCAGGGAGTCGCGCAGGTCCGCGGCGCGGCGCCGCAGGGCTGTCTGCACGCGCGCCAGCCTGCCAGGGCACAGGCGTCACCCAAGGCTCACTCGGGCGCTGGGACCGCGCGGACACCCCATGCAAGGAGCAACCTCCTCCTCCCTGACCTCTACTGAGGCCCAAGGGGGATGAAAGAAGAGGGAACCTCCCCCAGGACTCACTTTTCCTCTACCATCTCCACCTTTCTTCGCATCTTTCTTGACGTCTCATGCTCCGTGGAAGGCTTATCTGCCACCTCCTTCTGCAGAGCCTGGAGTCTGAGGCCGCAGACCAGGAGCTGCCTCTCCAACTGCCCCGTCTCTTCCAGGTCCCTGCGCAGCTCCATGGGGCTTCTCATGGTGGCCGGCTCTGAGAGCGACTTAGCCACAGCTTGTAGCCACCGCTCAGCCTGGTCCAGCTCCCCCACCAGCCTCAGGGCCTGCAGGGACAGCACAGAGGTGGCCCCAGCCCTGTCAGCCCAGGGCATGGCCCCAAGGCAGGGTACCTGGGACACAGGCAGCTCCTGCTCTGCTGTTCAAAGCAGCATGCAGGCAAGAAGGACAATGCCAGGCCAGACAGAGATATTGCTGACGATACCACAGATCCTGACCTCATGGTCATCAACCCTGCTTGCTGAGCCAAGTGGAGGTCAGGCCAGGTCTACATGCCCTTGGATCAGGAGGACCAAAAGGTGCAGGGGGCAAAACCATTCCCAGTGACCTGGTGTGATGAGGATGTCTTTCCATACTCACGTTCGAGTCCTGCTCTGGTGCTGCCTCCACATACCTTATCAATTTCCCTCAGCACAGCTCCATTCTCCTGGTGCTTCCTCTGCAAGTCCTCCCAGAGCTCCCCCAGCTCCCGCAGCATGGCCTCCACCTGCGGGCTCCCCCGGGCCCCTGTGCCCAGCAGCTTCTGCCCTTCCTAGAAGGAAGGGATGGGTGTTACAGACAGCCCTGCTGGGTATCCCTCTTCTTGGCCTGCACCAGAAGGGGCTCACCAGGAGCACAGCCTCGATGCTGGAGCTGTTGTCCAGGATCTCTTGCTGCAGAGCAGCCCGCTGTGTCTGTGCTGCCTCCAGGCTCTCAGCATCCTTCACTGGACTCAGGTGGACACTGGGACCCACGTTCTCCTTGAGCCGGGACATGGCCTGTCGAGGAGCACAGGAGACACGGTGCATTAGTGCCCGGATCAGGGATGGGTGCACATATGCATGCATCTATGCACATGAGCAGAGGGAGGCTTGGGAAAAGGGATCCTCCGACACTGAATCTCCTGAACAAGCTGGGAGCAAACGTGAGGGGGCAGGGGGACGCGCCTTGACTCTTGGGGAGACGTTACCGCGTTCGCAGCCTGACAGAAGTCCTGCACCTGCGCCTCCGGCTCCTGGGTGCCCCACTGAGTCTCCAGACATTCTGGCACCCTCCTCCTCCTGTGGGAAGGAGGAAGGTCAGGCTCTCCCTTTGCACAGGGACCCCTCTTTCTTCAGGATTTTCCAGAGAGAAGAGGGGCTGGGACCTGCCACAGAGGTCCCACCATTCAAATCCCCTTTCTGTCCTCACAGCTAGCCCATCCCAGCCCTTTAGGGGCCATGCAGTAGGCATAGGCACTGATCTTTTTAACCAAGGAACAAGTTGGGTCCCAGCAAGTGTCTTCTGCTCCTGCCAGCCTTTCCCAAGCTCACAGCTCTCCCCTCTGTCCCTGTGCCTGGCAGCAGCCACCAGCAGCCAGTACCTCTTGCTGTTGCCTCCAGGATGGGGTTGCCCAGCTGTTCCACAGCTGGGGCCACTCTCTTCACCTCTCACGTACTCTGCCACATTCCTTTCAACGTCCTTCTGCACCTACAGCACAAAGGCCCCGAATCCTCCTTTGCCCAGTCCAAAACGCGCTTCTCTTTGATCCATGCTTGGCACTTGTTGCCTCCCATGGCAGTGGGAGCAGGTCATGGGACTGATTACTTTGGGCTCAGTGCAGAGACTGTGATGGGTCACTGAGCCATGGTGGAGCGCATGTGGTAGGTTTTGGCCAACAACCAAATACTTTTCCCCCCAACAAGTTTCCTCGTTTTCCTAAGCAGAGGCCAAGCTGTCATACTCACTGTGCTCCCAGGACCTCTTTTCTGCTTGTCTCCTACTTCCTTCCCCATTGCCTCATGGCTGCTACCGTCTCCTCTGGACTCATGGCTCAGAGCTGCAGCTTCACTGCCTGAGAAACTGCTTGCTAGAGCCAGCACTGGAGACTTCTCGTTCCTGGGAAAGAAGCAGAGAGGGCATATAAAGGATGCCTGGGGGAGCATCGGATAAAGAAAAGAGACCTAAGCTGAGCTAGTCCCCCAGAGACAGCCTGCCAAAATCTAAATGCTAACCCAAGTCTTCCCAAGCCTCTGACTCCAGTATTGGGATTTTTAGCACACTCAGTGGCAGAGATGTGGAACCAGCTTTTCCTGTGGGACAGTCTTCCTGGTGGTCTGGCCAATTTGGAGCTGCCTGAATAGGAGGCCAGAAAAGCTGGCATTTACTTCCAGTGAACTCAGCAGGCAGAGACCACTGCAGGGTGTCTTGGCCCTTCCACCTGCTTTCTCCAACCAGACACTCCTGTTTTTCATGCAGGCAGCCCCTCCTGTACCACAGGGAGATAGACCATCCCTTTCAGTGCATTTATGAGAAGACTGAGGCCAGCAACAAGGTGGAGAGGTGCTCTCTAAGGTCAGGGAACTGGAAATGTGACCAAGTACAGACTTCCAAACTATATTTAGACATAAGCTCTTCTTAGCCTCACTGGGAGCCAGAAGAGGCTGCCCACTTCAGTTCTGAACTTTGCAGGGAGCAGGATTTGAAACCCCAGGATCCTGCCAGGCTGTGTCCTACCTCAGCACCTGCTGGAGCTGGGCCCACCTCTCCTTAACCTCTCGGTGCTTATGGCTGATTCGTGCTGCCAGGCTGGGCTGAAGGCTGAGGAGCTGGGACACAGTCACATCCAGCATCTGGAAGGGAGAGAGGGCCAGAGTGACACAACTGGTGACGGTTGAGCTGCACGTGGCAGCAGTGACAGCAAGGCACTTCCAGCTGTCTAGGAGCAGGAGAAGAAGCAGGAGCAGGGTTTGCCTCCCCAGGTCCCTGGCACACCCAGCACTCACCATCACCTGGCTGGCCATGTCCCGGACGTCCCGATCGCGGACTGCTTCGGCCTCCCCTTGCTTCCCCACACCACAGACACTCCTCCACTGCAAGAAGAGACTGCGGTGAGAGGGGAAAAGAGGCCAGGCTCTTCCCTCAGCACCAGTATTTACACATCACTCCAGGAAAAAAGCACACCCCAGAGCCACACTTGTTCCTCTGTTTCACCAGCCCACTCCTGGCTCTGGCCCCCAGCTCTCTCCCTGACCTTGGTCCACAGCATCCTGCATGCCAGGAACGACAGCTACACCTTCTTCATCCGGCCCTCACTCTGGACATGCAGTAATTCAGCATGAGGGTATGAAATTTGGGCTGACTCTGGCCTGAGTGCTCAGTACCTTGGCATGGATAGCCCCGAGAAGGGTATCTGCTTGCTGGAGGAAAGCAGCTACTTCCAAAGCCAGCTGCAGAGCTTCATGATGCTCCTTCAGGGTCCCTTGGAGCCGCAGCCACCTGCGTGGACACATGGGAAAATGTCAAGGGCAACCATTGACCATTTCTACAGGAGGCTGTTCAGAGGTTAGGAGAGGCAGGACAGAAGGCAGAAGATTTATGACGTCCTTCATCTCCCTGTGCCTGGCCCTTCCACAACTCAGTCTGTTGACCCTCCACTTACATCTTGTTGAGGTGCTTGCGCCGAGCAGAGATGCTCCTGCTCTCGCTTTTGCCTTGTTTTTCCAACTTCTGGGCTAGGCTGTTCAACTCCTCATGCAGACTCTGGAATTGCTGTTCCTCCTGGGCCAAACAGAGAGAGAAAACACCATCCTTTATCAAGGCCAGTCTTCCATCTGTCACTCCTGCCTCCCTCACACCACCTGGGCAGGAAGTCCAAGCTCTTCCCCCAGGAGGTGCCCCCTCCAGAAGCACCCCAAGAGCCTCTTACCTGTTTCAAGTCAAGGATGCGACGGGTGAGCTGGATCTTGTCAAGGCTTTCCTGCAGCAGTGCTTCCAGAGAGGGTTTCTCCTCCTGGAACAGAGACAGGGTGTGAAGAGATGGCAAGAGCACAGGAGGACAGACAAGCTGTCTCCCTCTCCAGCCAAAGCCAAGCAGGGTGGCCAGGGCAATTGTGGAGAGTAGTTAAACTCCTCACTCCCACGGCCCATTCCTGACTGACAGGATGATCACGGGTGCCTCATGTCCCTTCCTTATGCCTCTGTGTCTCCTTGTACCCCAGAGATAATAAACAGAGCAGAGTCACTTCCTGCAAGAGAGCACGGACCTGGATCTCATAGATGATCAGATTTGCCCCACATCTACAAGCAGGACTGTGAAGCTACAAGGTTTAGACATAAGACTTTCTGCTGGAGCCTAGGACTCCTCTCCTATGGCCATTCCCAAGGGACATGCCCCTGTTTCTGGGATATGATGCACAGGGCCTCAGGGACACTGTGGGTGTCCAGGCTGCTTATAGCACACACAGGGAGCAGCAGAAGGCCCTGTCCATCCTGACCGAGCTCCCGACACACTGTACCTTCTGCCTGATCCACGCTTCCAGCCGCTCAGCCTTCCTGGTGAAGTCCTGCAGGCTCCGCAGCCCGCCCAAGGCTTTGCTCTGGCTGGCAGCTGTCTGCCGGAGGAGCTGCCACTGCTCCCGCAGCGCCAGCAGCTGCCGACGCACCGTCTCGGTGCTGGGGCTCGGCCGCCCCATCAGCTGCTCGCCCATCTGAGGGGACAAGGGATCTCTTCAAGGGCAGCCCCAGCCTGCCAGGGTGGCACAGCAGGAGCTCAGAGATGCTGGTGCTGCCTGAGTATGGCAGAGGAGGACCCCATGGTGAGGACGCCTGCACCACAGCCCCGCCTCACCTGGTTGAGCTTTATCAGCGTGTTCTCAAAATCCTTCATGTCCCTCTGCAGGGTCTGAGCCACTTGCTCCCAGTCCTGCACGTCGCAGCCATCCTTCAGGTCCCGCAGCTTGCCTCGCACCCAGCCCTCCGCCTGCCACGCAGGGAAGAGCCATGAGCTGGGTGGTCTCTGGCTCTGTGAAAGACCCGAGGCTGCGCGCGAGGAGGCTCTTTTCATCGATGGGAGAAGCCACAGTGGGCCGCGTGGGGAGGCTCTGTGCAAGCGTCTCCGTGCAACACATTTGCTCTCCTTGCTCGTGCAAACACAGGC